CAATCAACGCGATAGTCATTCAATCGAATGGGATGATTTATACAATTCAGAAAATCAAAATAAACTGTCCATTGTTAAACAAAGCAAATAGGTACATAAGCCAAACAGTAGGGTTAAAGTTAAACTATAGATGGTAGCTACCATACTTCAATAGTCCAGGTTGTTTGGGACCTCTGCCATTTCCTTTATTAACCCCTTTATTAGAAGGACACTGTTTTGCCATGTGTCCTGTTTCTCCACAAGTAAAACACTTGTGTGTTTGAGTTTTCCTTGGAACTGGTGCCGCACAAAGCAGCGGAGAGCCGCGGGAACAGCCCCTGCAGCTTCTCTTTTTCTTGCCAAGAAGCTTTAATAATTCTAAAAAGTGTTCTAACACATCCTCTATATCACTACCCTCTTCAGTTCCAGCAGAAAAATATTCTTCCTCCTCGTTTGCCTGAACAACACCTGTATCATCATCATGATAAAGGGCAACAGCTTCCTCAAGATCCTCTTCATCTTGAGGATTTAATTTGTCTTTAAAATTTACATTATTCAAAAAAATTTACATTATTCCTCTTTAATATGCTGTCTCTTTTAGACCCCTGTTACCTTAACGAGTGCACTCTTTATCCGGAGGAGTTCCTCACCATCGTCTCTCCTCACCGTCTTATTCCCAGTTCCTCAGTCCTGTAGCTCGGGCGTCAGATTGTCAGGGCCAGCCTGACAAGGTTGAGCTGGGCTGAGGCAGGGAGGTGGGAATTGAGAAAAGAAAGAAAGACAGGAAAGCGGGATCGAGAGGACTCCAGTTCTCGAGGAACTGAAGCAACTTTATTAGCCACGCAATCCTATTTATACATAACACACTGAATAGGAGGTCTGTCAAGAGGAATGTATTCTTTGTTCCTCTTTATCTCTAAGGGGGAGACATAGCAGAAGGACAAGTTCTCAGTACAGCATATCTCAGTAAATAGTTACAGACTTCTTGGTAAGCTATGAAAGGCTGTTCTTATTCTACAAAGGTTGCTCTCATTCTACTGATAATTGCCATCCAAACAAGTCTGGGAAAACTGTGTGGGTACGGGTCCCAGCCTTGCTAGCCCCTTCAGGTTCAAGGACCTTGCCAGCTTACGTCTGGCCCCCAACACAGTCCCTTTAGCATTTATTGCACTGCTGGCTTGGTAGTGATAACCTACCTTATCCTTTATTTGTCTGTGAAGCTCCTTATTTCCTCTTCAGTTTTGAATGATACTCTTGCTAGATAGAGAATTCTGAAATTCAGCCCCTTGCTTTGCATCACTTTGTATACCCCATTCCATTTTCTTTTGGCCTGATGTGTTTCTGTTGAGAAATCATTTGATAATATAATGGGAAATCTTTTGTAGGTAACTCTCTGTCTCTCTTTTTCAGCCTTTAAGATTCTCTCTTTGTCATTAATGTTTGCCATTGTAATTATGATGTGTCTTGGTGTGGGTCTTTTGGGTTCATCTTGTTTGAGACTCTCTGTGCTTGTGTGACTTTTTTCTTCCCCACATCAGGGAAGTTTTCTGACATTATTTCTTCAAATAGGTTGTCTAACACTTGTTCCTCTTCCTGTTGTTCTGGCACCCATATTATTCACATGTTGCTTCATTTCATGTTGTCCCAAAGTTCCTTAGGCTCTCCTCCTGTCTTTCAATTTTTTTCTCCAATTGCAGTTCAGTTTGGGTGTGTTTTACTTCCCTGTCTTCTAATTCGCTAATTTGGTCCTCCACTTCTCCTATTCTACTGTTGAAACTTGCCAGGGTGTTTTTTATTGCAGCTATATCACTCTTTATTTCTTCTTGATTCTTACGTAAGTTGTTGATATTTTCATACATCCAGTTTATGAACTGTAAGGGTCATGTTTTGTTTTGTTTTGTTTTTGTTTTTTTAATCCATTCAGCCACTCTATATCTTTTGAATGGAGCATTTAGTCCATTTATGATTAAGGTTATTATGTATAGGTATTTGTTTTCAGCCATTTTTATTCTTTATACCTGTGTTCCTTCTTTTCTTTCTATTTCTTTTTTATTTTTTACAGCATTCCCTTTAACATTTCTTGCATTGCTGCCTTGGTAGTGATAAACTCCCTTAGCCATTTTTTATCTGCAAAGCTCCCGATTTTCCCTTCAATTTTGAATGATAGCCTTGCTGGATAGAGTATTCTTGGATTCCATGCCTTGCTTTGCAGCACTTTGTATACTTCATTTCATTTTGTTTTGGCCTGATGTGTTCCTGTTGAGAAATCATTTTATAATATAATGGGTGATCCTTTGTAGGTAGCTCTGTGTCTCTCTTTTGCAGCCTTTAAGATTCTTTCTCTTTATCATTACTGTTTGCCATTGTAATTATGAGTGTCTTGGTATGGGTCTTTTTGTGTTCTTCTTGTTTGAGACTCTGTTCTTATGTGACTTTTTTCTTCTCCAAATCAGGGAAGTTTTCTGTCATAATTTCTTCAAATTGGTTTTCTAATCCTGGTTCCTATTCTTGTTTTTCTGGCACCCCTTTTATACTTATGCTACTTTGTTTCATGTTATACCAAAGTTTTCTTAGGCTCTCCTCCTGCTTTCTAATGTTTTTCTCCAATAGCTGTTCAGATTGGGTGTGTTTCTGTGCCCTATCTTCTAACTCACTAATCCAGCCCTCTGCTTATTCTAGTCTACTGTTGAATCTTTCCATTGTGTTTTTTATTGTATCTATGTTATTTTTTATTTCCTCTTGATTCTTACATACGTTGCTGATTGTCTCATCCATCCCGTTTATATACTGTATGACCCTTATTCTGAATTCTTTTTCTGACATATTGCATGCCTTCATTTTATTTAGTTCCATTTCTGGCAAAACCTCCTTTTCTTTACTTGGGGGGTTGTTGCTTTGTCTTCCCATTTTTGCTGTCTCTTCTGGTCCTGGGTATGCTGCTTGGAATTTGAGAAGTTTCAGACCCTATCAAGGCAATGGTCCAGATATCATTTGCCCAGAGGCTAGGTTTGCCTTGAGTATCATGCATTTATTGTCTCTGCTCTGAGTTGTATCCCTCTCTCACACTGATCTGGTCCCTCAATTGTCTGTTTCAGATACTCAGACTGGTTGTAGCACATCCACAGTTCCTCTGATGTGTGAGTTTCTGTAAGGACCCAGAGCCCTCTGTCATGCAGTTTGCTGTGCGGACAGGCACCTGTGGCAGGGTGGCATGCTAGGTCTCTCTGGCAGCGCACTTGCAGCACTATCATGTGGCCACTGGCTGGGCACACCAGCTTGCTCTGGGTTGCCCCGGCAGCGTTTTCCTATGGCCAGGAGTGAGTTGTGTGCTCAGTTGCTCCAGGTAGCCCCTGTAGGACTGTCCCAGGGGCTGGGGAGAAGTGGGTGTTGTTTGCTCTGGGTCACACCATCCCAGCTTTCTTGAGCCCAGAGTAAGATGCATGCTGGGTTTCTCCAGTTCACCCCTCCTCAGTGTGGAGTAGTGATGGGTTTCTCTTGGTTACCTCAGTCTCCACTACCCTGTAGCCTGGAGTGAGGTATGCGCTCCCCTGTCATAAGGAGTGAGGTGCACATTGGGTTGCTCCAGGTGTCCCTGGTAGAAATGTCCCAGGGGCGGGATGGAGCAGGTGTGAGTTGCTCTGGGTCACACAGTCAGAGCTTCTCTGTGGCATGCTCTGGGTTGGTCCAGGTCATCCCAGCAGCAGGTCCTGGTACTGGGGGTGGAACAGGTACTGGGTGGCTTCAGGTCAGGCTAGTACCTTGGTTATGGGGTCCAGCGTTGGGGTGGGGCACAGGGTTCCCCCTGGCTTGCACTCACTGCAGGGTCTTACATTTGGATCCTAGGATGCTGGGTCCCAGTGGGCTGGTGAGGAGGCCTGGTGTGGGAGTTCACTCTGCCGGCACATGGTTCCTGAAGAAGTATCTGATTCCCTCCTTTAAAGAAGCATGGGTTCAAGGAATTATGTAACTCCAAAAGACTGCATGAATGCATGCTTTTTCTCTGTAATTTATCCAAAAGGCAATTGCATAATCAAAGTGTAAATCATTGTATTTTTGTACCTATAAAATATGTAAAAGTAACACATTTCACTGTAGCAGCACAAAGAAGAAGTGTGGGAGTCACAAAGTATTTCAGTAACATGCTATAGCAGATGTAAACTCAAATGTGCAGGAGCAAATGAAAAGAACCCAGAATCATAACTAAGGAGACTAATATAAAGACATTGTAAATATTTACTTTCACTTCTTTCTTCTCTTAGCTTCTTTAGAAGGCAAACATTTATATAAAACTAAGTATAACAAATAATTTTACATCATAGGTTTATTCAGTACTGTTGTTCCCCATTGTCTGCAGTTTTAATTTGTGCAGTTTCTTTATCCATGGTCAGTCCTGAATTGAATATATCAAATGGAAAAATAAAGGAATAAATAATTTACAAGTTCTAAAAATGCACTATTCTGTGGAACATGGTGAATCTCATGTCATTCCCCTCTGTTTCACCCAGAACATAAGAAATCCCTTTTTCCAGCTTACAAATGCTGAGTATTCTTCCTGCCCATTATCACTCTGCAGCCATCTTGTTTTTTCACATGGGTAAGCATTATCATGGCATTACAGTAAAATATATCACCTAATGTTGCCCAGTTTTGTGTTGCTCTAGCTCACAAAATTTTTTTAAAAAATGTTAATCAATTAAGGAACATTTATTCTGCCCCATATGAGGAATTTGTGTTTATTTTGTTAATGATACCCTAGCTAGGATATTCTCTATAAACAAAGTGCTATGGTGCCTGTTGTCTGACGGAGTCAGAGTGCAAACTTTTATATTTTTTCATGGCTCAGGCATTTCAACAAAGCAAGAGGTCTGCTGTGCAATGTCAGGACCACGAGATGTTTCCAACTACACTTTCAGGATCCACTAGAACTGACTTCCAAAATCCCATACACTGTTGGATTCAAAGTCCATTCTAGTTCACCAATCCAATTTGTCCCTCCCACAATATTAATTTCTATTTAATACCTTTCATGCATTTTTATGTCACTGGACAAACGTAATAATTGTTAATTGTAGGAAAAACAGAATAATCTGAAAACTCCAGTGGAAATGAATCCAACCAGTGCCTTGGTACTATTACACACTTAACCATTTCCTCCTTGCATGTCACAAGCTCTCCATTCCAAAGGATCTTCAGGGGTCATCTATTTCAATCAATCAATGTCTTTTTATTCTCTTAATCACTGATATCTACATGGTTTACAGTTACAGAACTTAAAGGGGAATTAAAATTTTCCCTGGTGAGTCAAAGCATTTCTGCTCATGGTAAATTTCTGTGACTACAACACAGTCTATGTTTTGCAAATTGTCCTGAGGTAATAAAAAAAAAAGAAACAGAAACACACAAACAGTAAGTTTCTACTTCATGAGGTACATCCCTAAAGAAAGAGTGCACATTTAGTATAAGCCTGGAAGTAAAGTTATTATCATAACTTCTCTGGGATGGTTTCAATTTGCATAAAAGAGAATTTGTATGGAATGAACAGTGTTTAAGGAATTATATGGCATAGCTCCTGAAATGTATATCAATTTTGTCATTATCTGGATATTTGGTTTTGGTCAAGTCACCAACAGTCTCTGAACATCACATAATATGGCCT